AAATTTATAACTTCAGAAGAAAAGGATTTCAAAAAACCTGTGTGACCTTACATATGGCAATGAGTTTTAGATTCAATATCAAAGTACAATCCATGAAAGAAAAAAAAAATCAATAAATTCCATTTCATCAATATTTAAAACTTATGTTCTGCTAAACACACCATTAACAAAAAACATTCACTGCTGATGGGAATACAAAATGGTGTAGTACAGCCAACTCTGGAAGAGACTTCAGCAGTTTTCTCTAAAGTTAACATAGATTAGGGGCGCCTGGGTGGCTCAGTTGGTTAAGTTAACATAGATTAAACATATGGCCCTAGGAATTATGTTACTAGGTTTAGCCAACTGATTTGAAAGCATATGTCCACACAAAACCTGTATGGAAATGCTTATAGCAACTTTATTCAAATTCGCCAAAAATTAGAAAAAAGAAAAGAATCACCAGGAGGTGAGAGGATCCTAGGATAGTATGAAGACTATGAAGAAGAGCCTGACTATATTACAAACTGTATTACACAACTTCACTTAAGGAGGTAGAGGGAAAAAAGAAGAGCCATTCTAAGTAACTTTGGAAAGTGGTACTTTGGAAACTGTAACAGTAAAGACTAAAGGAACTATACATGAACAGTGTACTCTAGTAGGTAAAGTTGTTTCTCATGGGGGTATCCGTTAATGATTCTGAAAGAGTTATAACGTATACTGGGGTAGAATAAATAAGGAAATGATGGATGGTGGGGGATGGAAACCAGGTTTCTTACTGTTGGAGAGGAAATTACACATAAGAAAAAGGAGAAAGCCAGAATGAACTATGTGGCACTGGATTAGAATCAGAGAAATAAGTATGAATTCAGATTTAGCTTAATAAAGATACAGATAGATACATACATAAATAATTTCATATATGTGTATATATATATCAGTTAGTATACATACATATATTTCCTAGCTCTTTCTGTGATTGGGCCTAAAAGTAGCCACACCAACTAACAATGAGCACACTCAGAATCCAGATCTTGGTTTCTAGTACCGTTGTCCAATAAAAGGAATCATGGCCCTTTGAGGAATGACTGATTCTATGGGTGAGGCACATCCCTATACATCCCTACACATCCCTACAAGACATGACCCAGGGGCATCCTGTGGTGCAGAAAGGTAAGAAAAGTGTTTAAAAATCAAAAGGATGGGGACATGTCAAAGGGATATGGAGGCCAACTGAAAGAGCTTCCAATGGCCAAGCTGGAACACTTCAAGCAACACAATAAATAACACAGTATTAGATTATAACCCAAAGTATTAAATGAGTATCAATGAGTCTATACTAACATAAACAAACAAACAAATAAATAAATGAGGGAGAGGAGACAAATCTCCTGTACTGAAGAATTAGAAATAATTTATGTAGATATTTTCCATGAGGGAAGTAGAGCTCAATTAACCTCTCAGCCCATACCCCTTATCCCCACTTCTGAGTATGGGCTGCACTTAAGTAATCTGCTTCAAAGAGTATGAAAGGGGAATGTTGGTAAGTAACTTTACAGTGAAGAAACATGGTAAGCACTACCCTGGCTAGGTGACCAAGATTAACATCACTGGTGTTAAGTCATGTTGATAGCATAATGTTGAAATAATATGATGAGAATGGCACTTCAGTCCTGGACTCATTGTCCCCCCAAAACCAATACCTCAGTCTAACCATGAGAAAAATTTAAAAAAACAAAAAACAAAAAACAAAAACCCAAATTGAATAACATTCTATCAAATGCCTGACGAATACTCCTGAAAACTGTCAATGTCATCAAAAACAAAGGAAGTCTGAGAAAATATGACTAGAGTAGGCAAAGGAGACATAGCAACTAAATTAATATGGGATTCTGGATGGGATCTTGGAACATAAAAAGGACATGAGAAAAATTAGTGAAATCCAGAGAAAGTGTGGAGTTTAGTTAATAATTATATACCAATGTTGCTTTCTCCCCCATGACATACGTACCATAATAACGTAAGCCGTTAAGAAAAAGGAAAACTGGAAGGTGGTTATATGGAAATTCCCTGTACTATCTTTGCAAACTTTCTGTAAATCTAAAAGTATTCTAAAATAAGAAGTTTATTGGGGGGGAGAAAGGAAGTCCAAGGAAAGACAGTGGAGTGAAATTTGAACACAGAAATCTGCCACGTGAGTGAAGATAAAAAATTAGTCAAACAGTAAAGGAAGTAGGACATTACATGGTAATTTTTAAAAGTAGGGTAGACATATGATGATTTGGGCCAGGTTCACCAAACTTTTCCTTTTACACATAAAAACAGGTATGGAGAAAAGAGAGTGAGCTCACCAAATCCTGAGAATTTTTCACTAACACCACACAGCTTGAAAATAACCTGAGAGACTAATGAATTGTATAGATAGCCCAGAGAAAAGTAAAATCATTCCTGAACAGAAGAAGCCTGTATTACAGAAGAATCTTTACAAAGGAAGGAAGAAGCACCAGAGCAGGCCATTTTGCACTACACCAATGAAACAAGTAAAAGCCCAAAAGTAATATTCCATGGAATCCGGATATACACAAGAACAGGTAGAGTGAGCCCATGGTCCACTGCAAGACACCAAACAATTGGAATTACTAATATAAAGAAAAGGCTTAAGATGATCACAGTGAATGGAGAGAAAAAAAGAGGGATTCAAATAATTATTAAATAGATAATACATAAAGACAAAAGTACCCCAATAATAACTAGAGTCTCTAAAACAGCCTAACAAATAGAATACAAAATTCACAAATCTAAAATTTTCATGAACTAAAACAAGAATCAAATAGTCCTTAGAGAGGCATGCTGTGGGTTCCAACTATGTTATTAAAGAAGAATCAAAACAAATACTATGATGAAGTTCTAAGAACAAAGAATCCTTCAGGCAGAAAAAAAACAAAAACCAAAACAAGTCACATATAAGTAAGGGAAAAAACCTGTAACTGGACTTCTTTTTAGCCAAACTCAATGTCAAAAAATAGAGTAACATTTTTATAATGTTTAGAATAAAAAAAAACTTAACTCAATAATTTTATTCATAAGCAATTTGAATATAAGAATAACACAAGGCCAGTTTGAAGCATGCTAAATCTGAGAATAAAGTATTTATTAGCCCTTCCTCAAAAAACTGAAAATGAAATTCAGTTACCCAGGAATTTCCCAAAATAAAGAAATCAGGTATAAAAATGTCATGTATGAAAAAAGTTGCAGATAATGATTATTCAGTCCTTTTAAATATAAAATCAAAATTAAACAAGAGGGGGACATTTTGGCTATAGAATCTAATACAATTTTTACAAAGATTTTATAACTAGAATTAATAAAGAAAAAAAGGAGTTTAAAACTTACTTCATAGCTGAAAGTGAAATGATACTGTTTAACCGAAACACCGCAAATTTCAAAAAACTGAAAAGAATTGATGATTCCAAAACCTGAATGTTTTTCAGCCTCTTTTCTTAAATTTTGAAGGATCTTTGGGGAATTAATACATCTTACCGTATGAAGTAGACTTTGCATGAGGTTCAAAATTTTCTTTAGTTTCACTTCAATTGATTATTACTCCCAAATTCAAAAAACACACAGCACCAGCTATGAACCAGGTACTTTTCAATATTTATTAAATCATTTAGTCCTCGTAACAACTTATACAAAGGAGGTACTATTTACCCATTTTGTAGGCAAAAAACTGAATTCCAGAGACTCTGAGTAATTTGTCCATTCAAATACAGATGTCTGGATCTGGATTCTGTGCTGTTAACCTCTACATTATATTGCCTCTCAAATAAAACAATATGTAGAGAATTATTTGATTTTTATCAAATTAATTCTATGTATACATCCACTCAGCCACCAACCATCAACCATCCATTCTTGTAGATAATAGTATTTAACTATATAAGCAAAGAAAATGTTTGGAATAATGTTTCTCTATTGATAAAGATAGTTATTTGGGAGTAGGCACTGGGGAATTCAGGTAAATTTTTTTTTTTATTTCTATTATTCAATGAGTTTAACGCCTTATAATGAGTATCAGTCTTCAAAAAAAATGAAGCCATTAATCTAAACAAAAAACAAACCACATTACCTAATCACAACTTGAACACTGTCATGTTAATTATTTAATGACTTTTTGTCTCCCTAATGAACAATGTTTTAATTAGTACTTTACTGTAATCCCCCATGGAGCCTAGCACAATGTCGGGCAGAGCAAACACTCAATAAGTATATTGATGGATCATCATAAAATATTACATTACTACACTGTACCTATCTTACAAGTAGTATATTTCTAGATGCTCTAGAGCCTTTACCTAAATCTGACTCCTTAGACTAGCATCATTTACATTATCAGGGAACTTGAAGAAAAACAGAATCTTCAGCTCCACTCCATACTTATTGAATGAGAATGAGCATTTTAAAAAGATTTCCCAAGTGATCACATTAAAATTGGAGAATTTCTAGAGCATTATTTATCTAAGTGTGGTCCATTATTTACCTATATCAGAATCACCTAGGTTGCTTGTTAAAAATGTAGATTCTCAGGCTCTACCCTATTTCAAGTGTCATTATATTTTATGCTACACCTAATAAAAGTAAAAAGTAGTGATGAATAGAAATGAGCATATTAAGCAGAGAGCAGTGAAAGAACCTACATGGTTTAAATAAATCAAGAAAGTGATACTAAAAGAGGGAAGAAAAGAGGCATCGCAAAGGAAGGTAGAGTAAGTATACCAACAGTAGGCTATGAAGAAGTAAAGAGAGTAATTGTACAGAGAGTGCTGTGTATTCCCCCTCACTCCTCCTTTTTTTGACTGTTATCCCTGACATGCAAACTACTACAGCATGACTGTGGGAATATGAAATTTACTGGTGAACCATATAACAATCAGTAACTTTTCTTAATATGTAACTACCACATAATGCATGCACTTTATAAATGCTCCAAAAGTCACATATAGTTTTAAATGTATACGTACACTTTTAGAGACATTTCCATATGCTCGGCTCGTGCAATTGCTTCATCTCTCTCCTCATTGGCTAACCGCAGTCGAGACATAATAGCTTCATCACGTTCCTTCTGTGCAAAATACACTTCTTCAACCAGAGCTACCAAAATATATAATCCATAATTAATTAGAGAAAATTTAAAAATGCATACTTTTAGCAAAAAGAAAAAGAAAAACAATTTTGTTATTTTACTAAATTAAATTAGTATCAATTAATCCTTGAAAAAACATTTTTAAAAGCTACTACAAAATTGAAATACATTTCATACCCATAAAAACACAAATTAAAAGGTCAAATAATAAATACTGTGAGCTTGTGAAATAAAGGAAACTCTCACATACACTGCAGATAGGTGTATATATTTCTACAGTCATTGAGTAATTTGGCAATATTTATTACAGTTAAAGATTTGCCTATAACCCGGCAAATCTCCTATTTGGTATGCAGCCTAGAGAAATTCTTGCACATGTGCACAAGGAAACATGTATAAAAAAATGCTTGCTGCAGCATTATATAACAGCAAAAACTTAGAAATAACCTAAATGTCCAATAACAGGAGCAAGAATTAAAAAATTACTAAACATTCAAAATGGAATACAATACAACATTTAAAATGAATTAGCTGGACACATTTCAAGAATAAAATTATGGCAAAAATTGCAAGGTCCAAGGCAAAACAACTCTACCTATCATTTATGGACAAACACAATTAGTAAAAATATTAAAACAATGAAAATCATCAACTTCAGGACAGTAGTTATGTCAGTAGCATAGTGGAAGAAAAGGAAAGAAATGGGATCAAGGAAAAAGCAAACGGGCAGAGGTGAGCTCTTTAGCACTGCACATCTCCAGAGAGCATCGTTTATATAGATCGTAATACAAATGGTCTCATCTAGATTTGTGCAGCACTACCTAGGGAGCTTTGATGTTATCTGAAATTGTCATTTCTCAAGCATAATTTCTACATGAAATTTTATATAACTTTTTTTTGGTAGCCTCATGTTGTATTTTATTTTTTTTTTTGAAGTTTTTTTTTATTATGTTATGTTAATCACCATACATTACATCATTAGTTTTTGATGTAGTGTTCCATAATTCATTGTTTGCATATAACACCCAGTGCTCCATTCAGTATGTGCCCTCTTTAATATCCATCACCAGGCTAACCCATCCCCCCCCTCCCCTCCCCTCTAGAACCCTCAGTTTGTTTCACAGAGTCCATAGTCTCTCATGGTTCGTCTCCCCCTCCGATTTCCCCCCCTTCATTTTTCCCTTCCTACTATCTTCTTTTTTTTAACATATAACGTATTATTTGTTTCAGAGGTACAGGTCTGTGATGCAACAGTCTTACACAATTCTTATATAACTTTTAAAATATCACTGCAATGTTAGACAAAAAGGGGCTCAAATACCTAGATCACTGACCAAATTTTACTTACACTGTCAAACCACAAAATAAACTTAGGAAAGATGTTTGAAATGTTCTTTTAGTTTACAAAACATTGGGTTTTTGCTAACATTTGTCATAGATTAATGCATAGCTAATCAAGAGTTATTCTTGTATTATTTAAATTATAACTGGTTGAAAAGAAAAAAACCCCAAGAGTAAATCATCTATATCTTTTCCATAGTAGAATACAAAATGGAACATGCAACGGCAAAGCTAAAGTCAAAACCATTTTCGGGGCACCTGGGTGGCTCAGTCAGTTAAGCGGCTGTCTTCGGCTCAGGTCATGATCCTGGGGTCCTGGGATTGAGCCCCACGTCCGGCTCCCTGCTCAGCAGAGAGCCTGCTTCTCCCTCTCCTTCTGCCTGCCACTCTGCCTACTTGTGCTCTCTATCTGTCGAATAAATAAATAAAATCTTTAAAAAAAAATAAATAAGTAAAGTCAAAACCATTTTCAAGAAAGTGAGCCTAAGGGAAGAGAAATATATTCATTCATTTCTTCACTCATTCATTAATTTATTCTTTCATCAAATATTTATGAAATTCCTGTGGCAGTCACCCATCCAGTTTTAAGTAGTATGACTACCGTGTTCTTAAAAGTCCTTACCTTCCTGGAGATGTATACATTCTATTATAGAGAGACAGACAGCAGAGAGAAAGCAGGGCCAAAATTAAACAGGCAGATAGTTAGACAGATAGAAGTAAAGGTTTTGAAAGAAAATAAGGGTGTGTGAGAGAAAAAAAGAATGATTTGGAACATGGGAAAAGAATAAACTAATTTAGGAAAGGTGGCCAGAAAAGGGCTTTTTAAATAAATGACATTTCAGCACATGTAAATAAAGGAAGAGAAGCCATATATATCTATATATTTGAAAGTAGACTAATAAGCAGAATAAAAAGTAATACAAAGGTCCTGAAAGTGTTAGAGGAACAGCAGTAAGGCCAATGTGTCTGAAGCAGTGATAAAGGGTGAGAGCTCTGGGAGATCACAATGGGCCTTGTGATCCATAGCAAGGATTTTAGGTATCATCTAACTATAATGGTAGCCTATAACGGTAGCCAATGGGAGTGTCCTGAGCAAGGAAAAGACAGCATCACATTTATATGGTGGAAGTCTGAAAAGGAATTCTGGTTTCTGAGTGAGAAATAGTCTGGAGGTGGGCATGCATAGAAGCAGAGACTAGTTAGGAGACTAGAGGAGGAATCTAAGCAAGAATTCACTTCAATAACCCATATAAATGGCCCATTCCTTGAAAGTAAAGCTACGCAGAAGTAAATATACATATATATGCCATCCTAGAGTTTAGATATTACATTAAAAGACTTCTAGAATAGAAACAATTTGATCAAATCTGTGCTTTAGAAGGAAACACCCACAAGCTGGCATATAGAGTGTATGTGGAAGATGCAGGGGTCAGCAGAAAGTTGCAGGTTGGATTGTGTGTGCCCCTTGACCCAATCATAGATTACTGTAACAGTTCAGGTAAGAAATAATGAAATCCTGAACCAAAGTAAGGGCAATAAAATTAAAAAGAAAAAGAAAATGGATTCAATTCGTAACAAAAAGGGTAAAATAAGAGAACCCAAGAGCTAAGCATGTACTGAATAAATTTTAGAGAAGAGAAAAATAGGACAGGTGACCTCACTAAGCATCTCTCAATACATCAGCAGTATGATTTTCTTAAAACCTTAGGATAAACAGGTTACTCTTCTTGCTGCTGCTACATAGATTTCAAGGCAAAAAACAAAACAAACAAACAAACAAAAAACGGTCTCAGCCTGGCATTCAAGGAAAACTAGAGTCCAGTTCTAGCTTACCTTCCCAGCATCACCTATCACCATGTTCCCTCCAGGACAATGTTACATAAAATACAGGTTGCAAAACACAGTTTTTAACAGTTATGTATCACTTTAATGTATATTACAAAAATGTAACGGGTATATTAGGCCTATAATGTCTCCTAGTGTCATTTAATTTAATGTCTAATTAAATTTTAAATTTCTCTAAGTTACCAAAACACATTGTTGAGCCAGATGCCCCTACGAACGTAACTTTCTATTACTTCATTTATCTAAAGTTCAAAAACACAAAAGAATGACCTAGTTATCAAACTTAGGATAATGATTACCTTTTGGAAGGAGTACTGAAAGGGAGGATGAGGGACATTTCTGGGATAATTGGTGATATTTGGTTTCTTGATCTGGGTGCTGGTTACATAGTTTGTTCACACTTTCTGAGATTCATAAAACTGCACAGTTATTGGTGTACTTTTATGTTTAGATGTTAAAACTAAATAAGAAACACTACATTAAAAAATACATTTATCTAGTTAAAAAGTTGAGCTGATTTAAAGAAAAATATTAAGAGTAGAAAAAAGTTAGTATGTATGGTAAAATTTCTGAAGGTACATGTTAAGATTAAACTTTAAGCAACAGAGACTTGTCCTTCTGGTCAAGATGGAGTAACAGGATTTGGATTTGTCCTTCCACTTAAATCAATTTTTTAAAAGATTTTATTTATTTATTTGACAGAGAGAGAGAGAAAGTGTGCACATGCACTCGGGGGTAGGGGCAGAGAGAGAGAGAAAGGCAGACTCCCTGCTGAGCAGGGAGTCCAATGCAGGGGCTTGATCCCAGAACTCTGGGATCATGACCTGAGCCAAACAAAGGCAGACGCTGCTTAACTGACTGAGCTACCCAGGTGCCCCAAAACAATTTTTAAAAATGTTCCCTCTGTCTCTGAGTCTCTCTCTGTCAAATAAATAAATAAAATCTTTAAAAAAAAAATGGGCAAAAGCCTTAGACACTTTATCAAAGCAGACATACTGATGATAAAGAAGCACAAGGAAAGGTGCTCAACATCTTTAGTCATTAGAGAAATGCAAATTAAAACTACAAGATAACCATCACATACCTATCACAAAGGTTAGAATGAAAGCATGACTAAAGATGCTGGGAAGAAGGGAGAGCCACTGGAACCCTCATTCACTGCCTATGGGAATGCAGGATAGTGCCATCACAGTTGGTCAGTTTCTTAAAAAGTTAAACATACACCTACCATAAGACTCAGCTATTTCACTCACAGGTATTGATCCCAGACAAATTAAAGCATATGTCCATACAAAGACTTACACAGAGATATTCATAGCATCTTTGTTTATAATAGCCCCAAACTAGAAACAAAAATTTCAATCAACAAATGGATGGATAAACAAACTCCATGACAAACTGTGCTAAACGACTGGATATCCACTTGCATAAAATCAAATGCTTTTAATCAACAGTTAGATAAGGTTAAGAAATTCTTGTTATGAACACAGCTTTTGGAAGAACCAGTACTTTCCAGCACAGCTTTCATAGGTGTTTTGTTTTTTTTAAGGTAGTATCATTGGTGCTATTGGCTTTCTGTAGCTATACTGTTCTGCCGCCATGTATCAATTCATTGTGCCATTTTGAAGGAAACTTCTGCCCATAATGTAGTACACAATAATGAGTTTTAATTCCCCCTGATAATTGTATGCAATTTCCTTCCAGGAAGGATACTCATAACAGCTTAGAGAAAGCGACATAGTGTATTAGGAAGAATATGGGCTTTGATTCAGATCCGAAGTGTCAACATACTAAAGTTACTACTTTACTAAACCTGTTTTTC